TAATAAGCTTATTTGTTTAATAATCTCGATGACAATTGCAATGAATTTTCCTAGTCCGGCAAAGGCTCGCATAAGTAAAAGCTAATTCAGAAAAAATATTAAGAGACATAAAAATACAAATATCAAAGAAATAAACCACGAATAAAAATAAATCCTACCATGTTGAACCAAACCATTAAAACCGAAAAACATTTCAACCAATGTGGAGGCTCCACATTACAGAGAACCATTATTCCCGTCGCCAATGGCAATAGATAAGACGCCTAAGATGATAAAAGGTTATACGAATATCTTGGAAGTGAACTAATTCTGCCATACTTACCATATCAACCCAGTTGAATACGCTATACCAATAACTTATCTGGCGACCACTCATCTGCCGAAATTCTTGAAGCAAAAACAAAATCGATATAAAGGATGTGATGCTGAACACAATATTCGCCCATATATTTCGTCCAGAGTCAGGGATTAAAACACTTTTAGTGCTAACCGACACACAGAAAATTACAGCATAAGCAGCATAGGCAGAAAGTTGCCATAAAAATCGAATTTTTGCAAATTTTTCCCTAGAAATGATACGCGTATTCGTTAATCACTAGCCTATCTCAAAAAAAAAAGAAAAATTTCGCATATTACCATTTAAACTTAATAACAGCTTCCATAGAAATTTCATTGAACATCTCTGAAGGACCATTTAGGGCAACTTCAGCAAATGGGCTCCTCTCTGAAGCAGTCACGTGAAAATCCCATATGGCTTCATGATTGCTTTTAGGCGGGGGATAAACACAAAAATCTGGCCACGGAACAACACAGAGCTTAGCAGGATGAGTTTTTTTAGTATTCCCTAATCTTTCTTTACGCTTCTGCCTTCGATCGCCGTATATTTCCTTCTTCCAATCAATCTTTTTTATTTTTTCACCATTATAATCTTGTGGGAAAAAATCCATCGTTTCATCTTTTACACCGACCTCCTCTTCCATGAGGCCAAACCATTTTTTTTTGTATTTCTTTGGACTCTCTGCGGGTGCTTGCCTGACTTTCGGTAATTTTGCCATACGAGTAATTGCAGCTAATTCATCATGTTCACTTCTTTCTTCAGTTTGATACGGGTTTCCCAACTTAGTATTTAGGATTCTTGTGGGTGTCTCCAGGGAGGTCGTAAAATAACTGACATTAAACGAAGTTAAAACCTTGAGAAAAGAAATCTCAAGAGTTAAAGATCATTTCGAAACCTCAATCAAGTACCTAGATTCCTTCATTATGAACATCCCTTTATCCGGATAATATTTATTCAAATCTAATAATATCTTTCCTACTGTCCACGCGTATCCAGGTTGTTGAACCCGACCGGTACGATTCTTTCCTTTTCGCGCAATTATTTTTTCATTATAATTATATCTTTCTCGGAGGTGACGGACGATATACTAAAATTCGATTTAGCACAAAAAGTTCTAATTTCAAGTAATGGAGCGAAAAAAAATTTTTGGGGGACTATTACCTGTACTAAAAGTTGTACAAGCTCTGATTTTTGAAGATCTACTAATAAAGATAATGCACTTTCCGTTTGTTCATCGTTATGAAATAATGGAATATACCGATTATATTCCAAAATTTTTTTTACTAATTCATCCCACCCGAGAACGATAAAATCTTCCTATAAATCAAAATCAAAATTATTTAATGTTTATGATTCCGTAAATATTAATAGTACGTACCATGGGATAAATATATTCGCCTTCGCCAATTGAGATTTTGTTAAACATAGATGGGTAGGACTGGACAGACGAGATGAGTAAAATTCTTAATTGTTCTCTAATCGCCAGGCGACTAAAGTAACCACTTTCCTCGGGGAATCGCAGGCGAATATAATGGATTGCCGCGCACGCGTCCGATATTATCCTATAACTAGCCATTTCGTTCACTTTAGGTATTGGGATTATTTCCGTGAAATTATTCGTTAATTGAATGTGAAGATTATAATTTATAATCCTTTCTTCACTCTCGAATTCGATATAGTCCTCGTCTTCACGAGCTTCTAATGAAACATCTTGAATAGTACCATCTTGCGTCAACGGAACCATCCATATGTACTGTAATTCAATCTTGATGAATTTTTGATTTTCCTTAGGTAATGTCTTATAAACTTGTACGCTATCTTTCCCAACTAAGAAAAATCTGTTTCCATGATTATCGAGCCATTTTGCAAACAATAATTCCTTGGATGCATTAAAGGAATGCCACGGTTCAATCAAGAATTTACTGACCAAAATATTTTCCTCATCGTGGATGTAACCCCAACAGAGCGACCGAGTTAAATGTTGTTCGATGGCAGTAGAGAGTTTTAATTCTTTTCCAGTTGCCTTCCACTCATCGAACCTCTTTAATGGTTCCAAATTTGTCGGAGCTGCTGAAAAAAGAGGGCACAATCGAAATTCCTTATCAACCGCTTGAACAAAAAATTCATCAAAGATCAAAAATGGATTGTCTGCGTTAAATCGGGCACAATCTTCTTCATAAACTAACAATCCGCCCCAACAATCCCAGATCTGAGTGCGAAGCGAACCTTCAGCGTTCGAACATACAATTATCTGTTCTCTCTGTGCTAAAAAGGAAATATGAAAAGTTGAACTAGGAACCTCAATCTCGCAAACTGTTAACGCAGTCGGAACATGGTATATGGTTAAAATGCTTGTGTTTGATGTTTCATTCTCTGGATCTGATTCTTCGTAAAACCTGTATTAGTAAAAGAAATCATTGAATAAATGACTTTTTTAAAGAAACAGCAGGTAACTAGTGACTACCTCGCAACAATTCTTCCATTCTGAGATATAGCATATAAATTACGCGATGATAGTAAATTTTCATATTCAACATAAAACCATTGCTTTAACGTTCCCTCAGGATCCCAAACACTAAGACCAGATTTACCCTCCGGCCAAACCAAACAATCGTTTCTTAAACTGTGAATAAGAATATCATAGATCTCCGTAATAAATACGTTGCTATCAGGCGAATAACGAGGAGCAATTTGGACGAGCTGAGAAATGCATACGTTATTTACAACCTTCCAGGTTCTTGTAGAGAATAGGTACATGAAATCATCAGTGAAGCCCACCATACGAGAATCATGACAAAAAATTAATGGACCCGAAAGATCAAGAAGACTTAACCGTGAAGTGTGATCATGCCGATGATGTTCATTAATATTAGTTGAATAGATAACATAAGATGCCTCTGGTTTTTCTGCTTTAGCACTGCTCGAATTAGCAGAGTCCATGTTCACAGTTTCGGTGGTATGTTCAATTATTGTTACTTTTGCTATGGAGACATAATCGCCATATTCGGATACAGAAACATATATTTTCTCGGTATTTCCAACGGTTGTCTTATTAAAAGGTGTTTTGGCCGAAAATATGCGAGATAATTTAGTTGAATCGTGAAGAACTGGCCACATTGCAAGTACTCCATCTTCTCTACTCCAAGTGGCTACGTATCTTTCTCCCGGAGAAGACCCCATCACATCAATTTTGGAATCTAT